CATTCGAAAGGATGTTGGAAAAATAAAAGAAATAAGGAAAAAGATCTAAAGAAGAATGGAAAAGAATAGAAAAGGATATAGGTAGAGAAACCTGCACCTGTCTGGAAACTGATGAAGGATCGAATCGGATTGGATCGATGTACCATGATCGAGAGACCAAAGGAAAGTACTTACTTACTTACTTACTTACTTACTTACTTACTTGCATGCTTGCTTGCTTGCTTGCGATCATTATTCGAAGATAGTAGTCAGCAAGCAAGTGGGTAGTAGCAAGCGGCATGCTCTTAGAAAAGATCATCGTCATAGTCCGTGGGCCGCGTGTGAATCGACTTTATATCTTTTGACAAAGCCTACCTCACAGTCGTAGAAAAAGAAGAGAAGAGAAGTGCTTGCCTTCATGACAAAAGCTATTCCGCATGCGAATGCAACAGAAAGATCGAATCATGTGTACCTTGTTCTATCTACTACTAGTCTACTCTACGAGAAAACATCCTCGCGCCTCTGTCTTTCCAAGAGTAAATGAGAGAACTGAAATAACTTGAACACGCTTTTGTGCGTGTTCGTATCTCTCTCTCTCTCTCTCTCTATCTTTCTCTTTCTAACTTTCAAATGTATTTACAAGAGAACATGCGTGGGGATTCTCTTTGGGGCCACACCTTCAGAGGCATGCGATGCGCCGTTGTGGCTATGAGACTGGTCGACATGTAAATTCGTAGACGTAAAACTCTAAGCCGCAAGGCAATTATAGAAAAAAAGAAAGATAGAGAGAAAGATTCAAACGGAATGCATATGACCGAGCTACCGAAATAAGGACAAAAAAAAAACTGATACGAATTCCGATTCCGCCAATTTCAAAATATTATATATTTTTATTTCTTTATCACATTAATGAGAAATAAATAATTAATATTAATGTTGTACGACGATATAAATCTTATGAAATATAGATATTAATTTGGAATATATTTCGACGATTTGAACTTTCATCATGATATTATCGCAGTCAATGTAATTTTCTAATATAACTTGCACAAAGCCCGACGAGAGACTATCCGAAGATGAATAAAAAAACAAAGATAGAAAAGAAGAGCCTTGAAAATGAGAAAATTACAGCGTCAAGTCCATCTAAACGTTGATTTGGAATGGCGCGAATCGTGCATAGACGTTCATAGACGTTCATAGTTGTCTTCGTCGTCGTAGTCGCGGTTTACGTTCCTTCTTTTCTTCGTTTATACGTTATTCGTGAGGAAGGTGCGGTACCGCACAGACACGTCCACGTGCGTACGCGTGAGCTAACTTCTTCTTCTTCTTCTTCTTCTCTCTCTCTTTCTCTCTTGGAGAGTTACGTAATTCGGAGAGAAGAGCACGCGGCCCCGGAGAAGCGAGCGGTGACGACACCTCCTGAACAGACAGAGAAAGAAAGAGAAGAGAGATCCGGGAGTGTCCACTCTACGTCGATGTACTCTCTCTTCTTCTTCTTCTTCTTCTTCTTCTCTCTTTTCTTCTTAAGAAACGACCCAGCCCTCTCGCCAGGCCCTCGTGCCCAGCCCACGTTCCACGAAGAGACTTCAAACAACTATGTATAAAAGAGAAAGAACGAGAAAGAGAAAGAGAGAGAGAGAGAAAGTAAGAGAAAGAAATCTTCTTCCACCTACAGGATAAAATCATGAGAAAGAGAGAGAGAAAAATAATCTGGCCCTTTTTTTCTGTTTTACTCGTAATACGAATCTAAATTTTCTCCCGAGAAAATATATATATCTAAACGATGTTAAGAAAAAGATAGTTTTAAAAATATTCTTTGCTAATCGATTAAAAAACCTACTTACCCAGATTTCAAGAAATGAAATATTGTCAAAATTTGAAATTACAATATTATGCAACAATATTCAATGTAACAATAATAAAAAATCAACATTAACATTTTGTAGATACCATCACTGATTTGTTAAGTCTATCGAAAAGAATCGTTAAAGTAACCTCGACGATTCCTATTTCTATGCGTCCTAGTTTCTACTTCTACATACATACTTAACTATCATTAGATCGTGAAAGAAAAGATCGTTTCAAGTCTCATTCGAGGATTTTCAAGATATCTTTATTTGAAGGTAGAGAGGCCAGAAGAAGTGTAAAAACCGAAGCAAGAAATAGACGATATTTCAATCACCGTAAGATCTATCAAAAGAGAATGAGATAGAAAAAAAAGACAGAGGAGGTAAGATATAAAATAAAGAGTGAGAGAGAGAGAGAGAGAGAGAGAGAAGTTTCTATCGAAGACAGAGAAGAGGTGACAGTCTCACGATTTTACATAAGGAAATCGAAGCAAAGACTCGTTATTTCGACATTGATGCTCGCTCTCGGACTCTAGTGTCGATCCCCTTAAGTGACCAGATCTCGGCTCACTCGGCACGAACACACGTTCGGTTTATCCTTTGGCTTGGGATCCCACAGTCTGTCTAAACGGCTGCCTTTAACGGACACCCCCGTACCTGTGCAAAGACGTCTCTACGTCTCGACTACGACTACAGCTACGACTACGGCTACGTTTACCGCCGAACAGAGAGAGAAAGAGAAAGAAGAAGAAGAAAAGAAGAGAGAAGAGAAGATTCCACGGCTGCCAAAGGTAGGCGACGAGTTAGCTGCTAAGTATCACGAAGCAACGTTGGAATCCCGACTTGACTATCGGAAGCGATCGCGAAATCTCTCCGAGCAATAATTTAACCCTTTTCGTTTAATCCACCCTTTCTTCTTTCTTAATCTCTTCTACCTTTACCGTTTACCTTTTTCTTCTTCTTCTTCTTTCTTGTTGTTTTCTTTTCTTCTAAAGTTAAACTAAAGTATCTAAGAAAGAACAAAGAAGAAACCGCGACAATATGTAGTGTATGCATAGACGTGCGAAAAACTAGAAAGAGATAAAACTATTGTTTGGTTAGCCAGAACTAAAGTAAGAACGAACGCCCGTTAGATTCGCAATTGACAGAAATTCCATTGGAAAATGGCAACAGCAACATCGTTACACCGAAATATCGACCTATCGTGTCCACCCTTTTTACGTTTATACCTCACGTGCGAAAACTATCCTTCTATTTTATTTAAATGATTATTTTACAAAAATATATAAAAGATCGATCGAAAGAAAAATTGTTCGAGAAGGGAAAGAAGAAAGATTTAAACGTCGAAAGCTTCTTGTCCAAGATCGAAAGGAAAAGCATTAAGCGGTTAACAAGATGGTACAAGCTCTATGCCTAGAATAAGTTTCCTACACACGAGCGTGGACGCGAGAAATATTGCTTTCGTGAACATCGTGGCCTGTACACGTCGCTCGCAGTTACTGGGTACCTCTCGCGGTAATATCGCATTGCGGAGGAACCGAGATAGAGAAAAAGCTGCTGCTGCAGAAGGAGGAGAAGAAGAAGAAGGTGGAAGAGGAAAAGAAAGAGGAGGATGGTCGAGATTAGTTCCGATTGCTTCTGCACCGGAGAATTATAGAAGGGTTGCTTGGTTCTCTTCCACAGCTAGGCATCGATCCCAGCTACCGGCTTCTACCCGTTAATGAGTCATGTTTAATTGGCGTGGGAAGCCCGCGGGTCTGTACGTCCACGTAACGGAATTGAACCGTACCTTGATGCGAGAGCGTGCTTGCACGGACATTAAAGCCCCGTGTCCGTGCTAGATGCCAGATGGCGTGTCCATAGCTTTGCAATCCTTATCCAACCAACTACTCTCAACATCCTTCTATTATTAGTCCTTTGTAATCTACCACTCTTGTGCCTGCTGTTACAATTCTTTTTCTTTAGCTTATTATTCAACCGATCGCTACACAGATTGCTAATCCTATTTTACTAATCCTAAGTATTATACATCTATACCATTCTAAAGAATTTTGATCGATTTTCTTGATAGAGAATATGTAATACGAATCACCGCGAGAGACAAGAAGCAAGCGAGCCATGGAAATCACGATTTCTTTCGTTCAAGGAAGTATATGTTGGTACGTAAGTAGAGACGATGATGTTCAACGACAGATGGTACCCGATGCTCCGCAATGGCGGCTCTCTTTGACAATATACTATCAAGTTATATTATCAAGAAACATTAACGCGAAATACAAGAACCCAAAGCGTTAATCGTACACCCAACGCGAACTGTTATAATTCACCTTACGAAATTGCCTCGACGTTTTATTACCTTAGCGAAAATCAAGCTGACTAATTGCTATGCTAGAAACGGTTTATACCTAGATCGAGTGTAAGCAAGCTGTCGAGTTTATCGTTTAATTGACCCTTAATTGTACACATTTATCTATATAATAAAATTAATATTAAAAGTGTTGAGCTATCCCTTGAAATAAAATAATATATTTGTTTCTGAATGATCGAGATAACATAAAAAAATATATCTATATATAAAAAGTAAATGTTTGCAAGATCGATCGCGGCAAAGGTAAAAGAATATCAGCGAAAGATCACGCGTCTAAATCGACACCTCGATGTAATGTCGACGTTAATCGTCTTTCCGGCGACGACGTGCCGACACGCAGTGGTTCTTGCTAAGCGTGCTAATCCCCTATTAGTAGTAACCCGATGTATGTACGTTAGACGCGTCGAACTCAACGTGTTCGACTTTACGATTTGGGTGCCATCACGTACTCGCGTGGAATCGAGCGAGTTTCCATTCAAGGTGGACGATCGACTTTTACTCGCATGCACCTTCCATCTTGACGTTTCTCCTAACGATAAATAATTCCGACGATAAATAATTATTGCAATTATATAATAACATTATTGCAATTATATAAACATCATATTAAATATTATAAACAAATACCTATTGCATTTTATAAAAAAAAAAAGAAATTAAAATAAAAATCTTCTCTCTACTAAAATGGAACTCGCAAAATAAGATAATAGCCGTGTAGAGTAAGGATCTTAACACAATGTAAGTAAAAATAAGTAAATGTTGTATAAAAAGGATAATAAGAACAAAAAAAAGAAAAGGCTAACCTCCCTAGACGTCGGTGCCCCCAGGACGCAGGGGCTGTCCGGGCGGCGGGGCGCACTGGCCCACCGCTTGCTCGAGAGCTCGCTCTCCTCCTGAAACAATAAACGTGACCTGTAATTAGACAAGACGAAGGTAAAGGTGATAGGCGGTGTGTTCTGATGAGCACTATTATAGCAATCTTAATGGCTCTCTCTCTCCTCGGTAACACGAAATTGCTCTTCGTAGGAAATTAGCGAGAAGAAAGAAAATGATGACGAGTATTAGCGAGACAAACATTTACTTTTAATATCCTCATCTAAACGCCATTTTATACATATATATATATATCTAAATAATTTACGGGAATTTCAAATAAATAAATAATATAAGTATTCGTAATATATATCAAATATCAATATATATCATGTAATTAATTAATTTATCACAAAATAGAAATAATTAAAAGTATTCTATTTGAATCAGGTAATTTGAAAACTAATAGCGTACTTCACAATTTAAATATATTGTAAGATTAAAATAATATAATATTTTCAAATGACACGAAATATAGTCGGCAAAAGTCTTTACTTTAGTCCGTTACAACGTAATTCTCTCTTAGAGAGCTCGCACACGACACACTAATCTATTCTTTCTCTGTTTCTCATTCGTGGCAGTTACGAGTCTACTCTACTCGCCGCTATTGCGAGTGCATCATCTCTCTAGTGCGCACGCGAGCGCAGTTATTAAAACGTTAAAACAATTACGCTTTTCTAGCGTGACGAGCTAGAACACGCGCTCTCGACATACGCGAACTCTAAATGTCCGTTTTCTATGAGCTTTAGAGAGATATGAGGCAACGAAAGAGAAAATGCAATGTAAGAGTCAAAGAGAAAGAAAGAGAGTAATTGCATCGTCTCTTCTTATCGTTCTTCTTCTCTTCTACCTCTTCCTCCTAGTCATCGTCGTCGACGACGCAACTTGAAAGAAAAAGAAAAAGAAGAAGAAGAAGAAGAAAATGCGAGTATTATGATGCCTGTGCTGTTCTATAGAGTGCTTTCGAGAAACGTCCCATGGACCACCCGTACGTCCGGTGATAATGAACCGATCACGAGGGAATTGAAAACCGTCCGTCCCCATTCGCGAATCGATAAATTATTTAGATGTTACGCGGTAAAGTCAAGGAAAAGCTAGATAAAAGTAGTTGATGGGCACGCTTTGCTAGTACGTTCTCTGTCATGCGCGCTTCTTTTTTCACTGGACGAGTGTCATCTCGGGAGAATTATTTCTTATTTATTCCTTTCTTTATACGTACGTTCATACACATACATAGTGAACTCAACGATATCCCTCGGGGCTGACAACTTGTTTCGTTCGGAGATAAGAGAACGATCGTGATCTTGCGAAAAAGAGAAAGAGAGAGACAGACAGAGAGAGAGAGACAGAGATTATATAAAAGATTCACTCGCACGCTCCACGCGTCTTTCTTCATTCTTTCTTTCGACCGATCGATACGCGAAACTTTAACGTGCCGACGACGTAATCGACATTTCCCTCGTTTCTCTACGTTCCCAACGATATATGACTCGTCTCGAGATATCGATCGATCGATCTCCCGCCGACCGTTTTCAAACCGATTTATTTTTGCGAACCTAGAGAACGAGCTAGTACTACACGCTTTTTATTACGTTCCTATGTCTCGTATACCAATAGAAAAATACAATCCAGTCTAAATTATTATTTCTGTACATACACGTATCTATATCGAAACGTGATACTCGATACCTGTGTCTTGTATAAATCTCTAGGAACGCGACCTAGATTTACTAAATTAATTAATTATTTTTATTTCTTTATTTTTTTTTTTTTTGGTTAGAGAAAAAAAAATAAATAAATTCTCTTCTAAGTTTGATATTACATTATATTTTATATATATATATTTAATAATTCACAAAGAATCAGACGATCATCGTGCGTAACGAAAAGGATGAAATTATAATACATACAAAATCCTTATGATTATCATTATTATTATTATTATTATTATTATTGCATAGATTGCGTTATACATATTGCGTTTAGGATATTGCAACGCTCGCATTTTACTTTCTCCACAGGGTTTCTCTTATTTTCCCGTAATATCGCAAGATTGCACTTCGAAAATTGAGGCGGCTCCTTGAAAGACGACGAACTTTGGTTCTCTCGAATATGTCGAGATATTTGATAGGAAGCAAGCAAACAAGTCAATATATAATATATATATACATATATTACACATATATTGGTTTTATGTATGAAATATTCAATCGTGATCTAAATTTCGAAAGATTAAATAAAATCGATTTCATATATCGTAAAAGTGTTTGAAAAAAAAAATATAAAATAAATAAATAAATAAATAATTAAGAATCAACTTGGTTAAAACACAAAGTAGCAATCAAAAGGAATCGTTTGATGCGGGTTACGCGTTAATTTTCGCATATAAAAGAGGTAAATATAACATAATAAAAGAAAGAGAGAGAGAGAGAGAGAGAGAGAGAGAGAGCTCATATATCCTTTTCTTCTCATATTCCTTCTCTTTCTTTCCCACGGCGGCTTAGCGAGAGGTCGTTAATGGATTAGGGCTCAAGAACTCGGTGCGTTCTGGTAAAAGCGATTTTCCATATAAGCGTCCACGGTAAGCGTGTAATCCTTCTGCGTGCGGTGAGTTACGCCAATCGGGTGGACCGTAAATTATAACTTTCGGTCATAAAAACAGGACTATGAAAGTGATTTGCAATGCGGTAGAGAGATATCCCCCGTTTCAGTTGGCCCGAAGGTGGGGCAGATCTCAAATATAATGTGTGAAATGACCGTTGTATTCCTTCTCTCTCTTTCTTTCTCTCTTATGCACTCTTATATGCACTTCTATAAACTCTCTTACGTTCACGTCTACTTTCGTCTCTAATCGCGCACGTTTCAACTCTAAACGGCCAAAGGCAATAATAATAGTAATAATAATAATAAGAAGAAGAAGAATTAGTCGGTTCAATAAAAACACTAACAAAGATTACGCAAACATCCGTGCACATTATGAAAATATTTATAATATTAATTATGCAATCTTCGTTCATTATGTGTTCATTAGTTGAATATACTCGACAAAACGACCTAAATCCAATTACATTTCTCGAATCCTCTCTTACGAACGCTATACTATACAACTAACACACAACAAGCATAAACGTAATTATTACTTGCTCGCGCCACGAGTATTAATTTCTTAAACGTTCTTTACATATACCAAGCAGATATCGTTTCAGCACGTTGTTCAACTACCCATAGAGAGAAAGATCCGATTAAACTCTACTCGTTTCACTTATATCAGACTTACATATATGCTTGCCTATCTAAAATTACTCAGATTATTATGTTAAACATTTCTATTACATTATATAATCTTACTAAATATGTATTTACTAACTTATCAAATTTGTACGATTGCGAATCGAAACGAAAAATACGTGCCATGTCATAAGTGTGCGTGCATTTTCATATAAACGAGTTAAAGTTTCTTTTTAACCTTAGAAGAAGAAAAAAAGATGATATCTCTCATTCGAAACGTGCTTCGTTCGAGTAATAGAATTAGATCTTGATATAGATAGGAAATAATCTATGCACATACAGAAAAGCGTTACCTAATTTTCATCCTCTTCTTCTTCTTCTTCTTCTTCTTCTATTTCTTCTCTATCTTCTTTTCCTTTTTCTTCTTCTGGGAGGAACCTCTCTCAACATTCTTAGAATAATCGTATAAAAGAAAATATGTAGAGTAATAATAAGCTTTTATACTAGCCGCTCGCGATATCGTAAGAGAGAAAAGCGGAATGTATCTTAGGGTGGTATAAAACGATAGTCAGGTCATTCGATGAAGGAAAACAATGGTCTCTTTTGATTTACGAACGATATTAAACAGGTAAGCCACGTATGCGTATAGATCTACATATTATACCAATATTCTTGATATTTATTGTACGATCCGAACAGTCGTGGGTAAACCTAACGTGTTCCGAGAATCTAACTTGCTTCTGTAAATCCTTTGGTTCGTCGCACATTGTTCTAACCGAGACGAATATCACCGATCTTCTGTTTTCCACGGTTAAGATTGTCCGAAACGAAGTACCCTGATATTTATATAATTCCACGTATCGAATAATATTTAAAAAAAAAAGAAAATATCTGCTACATAAATCAGAGATGTAATGCGGGTAAAGTAATAAATTAGCTTGTAATGACGAAACGTATCAACTTACTGATAATATACGTAAAACGAGTAAAAGAGAGAGCCTAATAAAGGATCGAAAATGAGAATGCAATGCAGAAGCCAGTTAGTTCGATCGTTTCGTACGGTTATAATCGAATGACTCGTTTGTGTAATTACATTCGTTAAAATAACTCCGGTTGCCCGTTACACACCGGGCCTTCTTCTCCTCTACGACCATTTTTTGTCACACTTTTCTTCCATTCCGAATGAGCTTGAGAGTCCATCGTGGTTTGCTTCTCTGGCGTTAAGGGTGCCCTTATTCGTCCCGAAACTGCACCTAACCGAGCGCGGACGAGACTAACGAGAATTATTCAATTAGGGTAGAAGCCTAATTGAAACGAAGAAGAAGATTATATTGAGACCGGTTAAACACACACGTCAAACTGTCCTCCTCTCTTTGAACAAGGTCTTAAACTTATGTGAAAGCTGTCATCGCTCTTCTTCCCCTTCTTTTACTTCTTTTCTTCTTTCTCTCTCCCTCACATATCCTGTACCTTTTACATTGCCACGAGAGAATAAAACATTCTCTAAATAATATTATCCAATGTTGATATTCTCTTAATTTTCCATACACTAAACTCGTTCGTTTACTTTCGTCCAAGCGGTGAAAGTTCATATCTCGTCTTCTCGACAAGAGATTATGGTACCAACATACGTGTCACAAGAAAGAGATAGATAGATGGATAGATAGATAGAGATGAAAAAACATAAAGAGAGATGAAGATAAAAATGAGATAAAATTGAGAAAGAAGGAACGACTAGAAGTCGCCCTATGGTCTATATGTCTACGTATGGTTACGTATGCATATGAACCAT